CTAACTGTAAGTTGCTCTGGATAAGAGTGTCTGCTAAATGACTAAAATGTAAATGTAAATTAGTTTACTGTAAAATAGCATTTTATCTGGTCAAAACTTTACTAAGGGTTGGTAACATGTTGATTGGTCGGCTATTTGAGCTAGTAAAGGGGGCTTTACTATTCTTAGGTAGCGGAATTACTTTTGCTTCCCTCCAGGCCTGGGGGCACACACTTTTTAGTAGGCTTAAATTAAAGATATGTCAAATAGGAGTGGCAATATCGTCCGCTGTTATCCTCAGTAATTTTATATTTTTTTTACGCTCTTATCCAGAGCGACTTACAGTTAGAGAGTGCATACATTTTCCATCCAAGTTGTCAGACCCCGGTGGCTTGTCATTGTTGATAGACAACAATACTTTTTTTACCTCTTCCACACTCACTTTACGTAATTTGGTCAGATATGATTGGATGTGTAGTGTCAGCGTTTGTTGCTGGCATGTCATGCCTAAGTTTGCTAATCTTGCCAATGAAAAAATCATTAAAGTAGTTGGCAATATCAGTCGGTTTTGCAATGAGTGAGCCATCTGATTCAATGAATGATGGAGCTGAGTTTGCCTTTTCCCCAGCATTTCATTTCAGGTGCTCCAAAGCTTTTTACTATCATTCTTTATGTCATTTATCTTTGTTTCATAGTGTAGTTTCTTCTTCTTTTTATTCAGTTTAGTCACATGATTTCTCAATTTGCAGTACGTTTGCCAATCGGTTGTGCAGCCAGACTTATTTGCCATTCCTTTTGTCTCAGCCCTCTCAACCCTACAATTTTTTAATTCCTCATCAATCCAGGGGGATTTAACCGTTTTTACAGTCATTTTCTTAATGGGTGCGTGCTTATTAGTAACCGGAATAAGCAGTTTCATAAATCTGTCCAGTGCAGCGTCTGGTTGCTCCTCATTACACACCATGGACCAACAAATATTATTTACATCAACAACATAGGAATCACTACAAAACTTATTTTATGACCTCATATACACAATATTAGGCCCAGCCTTCGGAACTTTGGTTTTCCTAGATATGGCTACTATATTGTGATCACTACATCCAATGGATCTGGATACTGCTTTCAAGCACATTTCTGCAGCATTAGTAAAGATTTGAACAATTCATTTTGATGATTTCATTCCTATGCTGTTTGTAACCACCCTGGTAGGTTGACAGATAACCTGAACCAGGTTGCAGGCACTGGTTACAGTTTTAAGCTTTTTCTTGAGTGGGCAGCTTGATGAACGCCAGTCAATATTTAATCACCCAGAAAATATACGTCTCTGTTGATATTACGTACAATATCAAGCATTTCTCACGTTATCCAGATACTGACTGTTAGCACTTGGTGGTCTATAGCAGCTTCCCACCAGAATGGGCTTTAGGTGAGGCAGGTGAACCTGTAGCCATATTACTTCAACAGTATTTAACATGAGATCCTCTCTAAGCTTTACAGGAATGTGGTTCTGAATATAAACAGCAACACCTCCACCATTGGCATTTCTTTATTTTCTGTAGATATTATAACCATGAATTGCTACCACTGTATCATCAAAGGTATTATCTAAGTGAGTTTTAGAGATTGTCAGAATATGAATGTCATCTTTTACTAGCAAGGCACTTCATGTTTTTGATTGAACTGACCTGGAAGACCAGGTGTGTTGAATTCAGTCAGTCACTGTTGGTCAAAATACTGCAGTACCTGCGGCAGACCAGGAACAGGGTTGCCTACCCCTGGCCTAGGTTAACATTAGTTAGTGTTCAAGCAAAATTAGATGATATGAGTTGTACTTTGCTCTAATGCACAGTTCATTGTCTGGTCATTATTATAAAAGAGAATGACTGGTTAAATCAAGGTTAAATAAGGGTTAAACTGCCTGTTCTGAATCAGTTGGTCTCCCATGCAGAACACAGTATTAATGTTCCTGTATAGAGGGGATGTTATGTTGGCAGATCTCAGGGGGATTGGTGTAGCTATGATATGTGGGCAGATCTCAGGGGGATTGGTGTAGCTATGATATGTGGGCAGATCTCAGGGGGATTGGTGTAGCTATGATATGGGGGGTGGTGAAGCTATGATATGTGGGCAGATCTCAGGGGGATTGGTGTAGCTATGATATGTGGGCAGATCTCAGGGGGATTGGTGTAGCTATGATATGTGGGCAGAACCAGCGACCTTTCGGTTACTCAGCACAACGCTCTTAACCACTAAGCTACCTGCCGCCCCCCATGTTGTTGTCATTGATTAGGTTTCCCATGTCCCAAAGAAAATGACAAAAAATGAACAATCTCATTTCCCTGTATTCCAGCCTGTGTCTGAGGAGTTCCAGAACGGTGACGGCTTTGGCTACATCGTGGCGTTCCGAGCCAATGGGACGCGAGGATGGAAGGAGAAGATGGTGACATCAGCAGATTCCACTACGTACAAGTACAGAGACGAGACCTTCCCTCCCCTCACCCCCTTCGAAGTGAAGGTGGGAGTGTACAACAACAAGGGAGACGGACCCTTCAGTGGAGTGGTCACTGTGTACTCTGCAGAGGGGGGTGAGTTCTCGCATTCGCACATCTAAGGACTGCTTTGCAGGGGGTTGGGAAGCTTAAACTTATTCAAAGGGAAGTCGCTCCTTCAAGTTGCCTTACAATTTATGTCATATGTCACATCAACAGTTCTACTAGTTCTCACAAGTAAAAAGCCAAAACATCACATCTTAGTTTTCTAGAGTAGGGTTTCCCAAACTGGGTCCTGGTCCCCCCTGGGTTCACCTTTTGGTTTTTGCCACTACACAGCTGATTCAAATAATCAAAGCTTGATGATGAGTTTGGGGGGGGGGGGGGGGCAGGACCGAGTATGGAAAAACCTGCTCCCCTCCTGGAGGACCTGAGCCCTAGGACCATGCCTCAGGACTACCTGGCCTGATGACTCCTGGCTGTCCCCAGTCCACCTGGTTGTCCTGCTGCTCCTGTTTCAACTCTTCTGCCTGCGGCTGTGGAACCCTGACCTGTTCACCGGACGTGCTACCTTGTCCCTGACCTGCTGTTTCAACCTCTAAATGCCCGGCTAAGAAAGCCAAGTGACATTTACTCCTGATGTACTGACCTGTTTCAACCTCTACAACCACTGTGATTATTATTTGACCCTGCTGGTCATCTATGAATGTTTGAACATCTTGGAGAAAAATCTGTCCTTAATGGCCATGTACTGTTATAATCTCCACCCGGCACAGCCAGAAGAGGACTGGCCACCCCTCAGAGCCTGGTTCCTCTCTAGGTTTCTTCCTAGGTTCCTGCCTTTCTAGGGAGTTTTTCCTAGCCACCGTGCTTCTACATCTGCATCGCTTGCTGTTTGGGGTTTTAGGCTGGGTTTCTGTATAGCACTTTGTGACATCTGCTGATGTAAAAAGGGCTTTATATATACATTTGATTGATTGATTGATAGAGCAGGGGTGTCAAACTCATTCTTCAACGAGTTCCGGAGGGCCACACTGAAAATGTGTTATATTTCCTCGCTGTCTAGTTATCATTTTGGGAATTTTCAATGCTTCCTGACTGTCTAGCTTTCATTTCGGTGATTATTAGCAAGCTGGACATCCCTGGTCTAGAGGTTGCTTTGTTTATGTTGGAAATGCTATTCAAAAAGAAGTACCCCCTATACACTCACAATGTCTCACTTTATGTCTTTTATTCAAATGAACACATCCTCTGATCTCCCCTGGGATTGAGATACTATTGGCTGATATGCTATGGAAGTACTCATGATGTCATTGAAACAAACCACTTGAGTTGATGGAACATAATAGTTATGGGTGGGATTTACAGATTATATGGGGACTGTAGATGGAGAGATTTACTGTTATCAATATGTACTGATTGACTGTAGAGATTTACTGTTATCAATCATCAAGTATGCAGACGACACAACAGTAGTAGGCTTGATTACCAACAATGACGAGACCACCTACAGGGAGGAGGTGAGGGCTCTGGGAGTGTGGTGCCAGGAAAATAACCTCTCTCGCAACGTCAACAAAACAAAGGAGCTGATCGTGGACTTCAGGAAACAGCAGAGGGTGCACCCCGCTATCCACATCGACGGGACCGCAGTAGGGGAAGGGGGAAAGCTTCAAGTTCCTTGGAGTACACATCACTGACAAACTGGAATGGTCCACCCACACAGACAGAGTGTTGAAGAAGGTGCAACAGAGCCTCTTCAACCTCAGGAGGCTGAAGAAATTTGGCTTGGCACCTAAAACCCTCACAAACTTTTACAGATGCACAATTGAGAGCATCCTGTCGGGCTGTATCACCGCCTGGTACGGCAACTGCACCGCCCTCAACCGCAGGGCTCTTCCAGAGGGTGGTGCGGTCTGCCGAATGCATTACCGAGGGCAAACTACCCGCCCTCCAAGACACATACAGCACCCGATGTCACAGGAAGGCCAAAAAGATAATCAAGGACAACAACCACCAAACCACTGCCTGTTCACCCCACTATCATCCAGAAGGCGAGGTCAGTACAGGTGCATCAAAGCTGGGACCGAGAGACTGAAAAACAGCTTCTATCTCAAGGCCATCAGACTGTTAAACAGCCATCACTAGCACATTAGAGGCTGCTGCTGCCTATTGAAATCGCTGGCCACTTTAAGAAATGGATCACTGGTCACTTTAATAATGTTTACATATCTTGCACTACTCATCTCATATGTATATACTGCATTCTATACTATTCTACTGTATCTTAGTCCATGCCGCTCTGACATTGCTCGTCCATATATTTATTTATATTCTTAATTCCATTGCTTTACTTAGAATTGTGTGTCTTGGGTATATGTTGTGAAATTGTTAGATATTACTGCACTGTCGGAGCTAGAAGCACAAGCATTGTGTGTCTGTGGGGTTTCTATGGTTGATTGGAGTGTGTGTGTGTGTGTGTGTGTGTGTGTGTGCGCGCGCGTGTGTGCGTGTGTGTTTCTCTCTACAGAGCCCAGGGAGGTCCCATCTGAGGTGAAAGCTTCCAGCATTTCCTCTTCCGAAATTAAAGTTACTTGGAGACCGCCCAACCCTGGCCCTGGGAGACCAATGGGATACGAGGTGTGTGTGTCTGTCTGTGTGTGTGTCTGTGTGTGTGTGTGTGTGTGTGTGTGTGTGTCTGTGTGTGTGGTGTGTGTGTGTGTGCATTTTACATTAAATTTTTCATTAGACAAATCTAAATAAAACAAGTAAATGTAAATACTACAATAAAAGATCAGTTTAAAAGAGATCTTCTTCCCTCAGGTGACCTACTGGAAGGACAGTGAGCAGGAGGAGTCAGGGAAGAAGAGGACAGCAGGGAACGAGACGTCTATGGTGCTGACAGGGCTGGAGGGGAACAGAGTGTACCTCATCACAGTCAGGGGCTTCAACAGTATCGGCCAGGGCCCTGCATCAACCGCTAGCACCGCCAGGACCAGGAAAGACCGTGAGTACACCACTCATACAAACCTGAATAAAGGGTGGATTTTTATTTATTTAATTTTAATTTTTTATTTAACCTTTATTTAACTAGGCAAGTCAGTTAAGAACAAATTCTTATTTACAATGACGGCCTACACCGGCCAAACCCGGACGATGCTGGGCCAATTGTGCGCCGCCCTATGAGACTCCCAATCACGGCCGGTTGTGATACAGCCTGGAATCGAACAAGGGGGTCTGTAGTGACGCCTCAAGCACTGAGATGCAGTGCCTTAGACCGGGAGCCCCGAGTGGCGCATATATACTGAGATGCAGTGCCTTAGACCACTGAGATGCAGTGCCTTAGACCACTGAGATGCAGTGCCTTAGACCACTGAGATGCAGTGCCTTACACCACTGCGCCACTCGGTCTGTAGTGACGCCTCAAGCACTGAGATGCAGTGCCTTAGACCACTGCCTTAGACTGTACATACAGTTTAATTAAGCAATAAGGAACAAGAGGCAGTGCTGTATCATGAATACAGTCACAGGTAAGAGGCAGTGCTGAATCATGAATACAGTCACAGGTAAGAGGCAGTGCTGAATCATGAATACAGTCACAGGTAAGAGGCAGTGCTGTATCATGAATACAGTCACAGGTAAGAGGCAGTGCTGTATCATGAATACAGTCACAGGTAAGAGGCAGTGCTGTATCATGAATACAGTCACAGGTAAGAGGCAGTGCTGTATCATGAATACAGTCACAGGTAAGAGGCAGTGCTGAATCATGAATACAGTCACAGGTAAGAGGCAGTGTGTATCATGAATACAGTCACAGGTAAGAGGCAGTGCTGTATCATGAATACAGTCACAGGTAGAGGCAGTGCTGTATCATGAATACAGTCACAGGTAAGAGGCAGTGCTGTATCATGAATACAGTCACAGGTAAGAGGCAGTGCTGTATCATGAATACAGTCACAGGTAAGAGGCAGTGCTGTATCATGAATACAGTCACAGGTAAGAGGCAGTGCTGAATCATGAATACAGTCACAGGTAAGAGGCAGTGCTGTATCATGAATACAGTCACAGGTAAGAGGCAGTGCTGTATCATGAATACAGTCACAGGTAAGAGGCAGTGCTGTATCATGAATACAGTCACAGGTAAGAGGCAGTGCTGTATCATGAATACAGTCACAGGTAAGAGGCAGTGCTGTATCATGAATACAGTCACAGGTAAGAGGCAGTGCTGAATCATGAATACAGTCACAGGTAAGAGGCAGTGCTGTATCATGAATACAGTCACAGGTAAGAGGCAGTGCTGTATCATGAATACAGTCACAGGTAAGAGGCAGTGCTGTATCATGAATACAGTCACAGGTAAGAGGCAGTGTTGTATCATGAATACAGTCACAGGTAAGAGGCAGTGCTGTATCATGAATACAGTCACAGGTAAATGCCGTTGTTGGGCCCGACACGATAGCGGAGGACCGCCTCTTACCTGTGACTGTATTCATGATAATTATTTGATAAGTGAATTCATACAATTTAATTCTTCCACCAGAAGATATAGTCCAGACAAAAATCTGGTTGTTAGTTATTTTGGTCATGTTGCTACAGACGCCAGCCAGTCATTCATTATTTTTGAATAGTTGCTATGCAAAAAAAAAATACTTGTTTCAAAACATTCTAAAAAATAAATAACGGAAGCGTGCATATTATGTATTCACCCCCTTTGCTATGAAGCCCCTAAATAAGATCTCGTGCAACAAATTACCTTCAGAAGTCACATAATTAGTTAAATAAAGTCCACCTGTGTCACATGATCTCAGTATATATACATCTGTTCTGAAAGGCCCCAGAGTCTGCAACACCACTAAGCAAGGGGCACCACCAAGCAAGCGCCACCATGAAGACCAAGGAGCTCTCCAAACAGGTCAGGGACAAAGTTATGGAGAAGTACAGATCAGGGTTGGGTTATAAAAAAATATCACAGAAACTTTGAACATCCCACGGAGCACCATTAAATCCATTATTAAAAAATGGAAAGAATATGGCACCACAACAAACCTGCCAAGAGAGGGCCTCCCACCAAAACTCACGGACCAGGCAAGGAGGGCATTAATCAGAGAGGCAACAAAGAGACCAAAGATAACCCTGAAGGAGCTGCAAAGCTCCACAGCGGAGATTGGAGTATCTGTCCATAGGACCACTTTAAGCCGTACACTCCACAGAGCTGGGCTTTACGGAAGAGTGGCCAGAAAAAAGCCATTGCTTAAAAAGGAAATAATCAAACATGTTTCGTGTTCACCAAAAGGCATGTGGGAGACTCCCCAAACATATGGAAGAAGGTACTCTGGTCAGATGAGACTAAAATTGAGCTTTTTGGCGTTCAAGGAAAACGCTATTTGTCTGGCGTAAACCCAACACCTCTCATCACCCGAGAACACCATCCCCACAGTGAAGCATGGTGGTGGCAGCATCATGCTGTGGGGATGTTTTTCATCGAAAGGGACTGGGAAACTGGTCATGATGGATGGCACTAAATACAGGGACATTCTTGAGGGAAACCTGTTTCAGCCTTCTAGAGATTTGAGACTGGGACGGAGGTTCACCTTCCAACAGGACAATGACCCTAAGCATACTGCTAAAGCAACACTTGAGTTGTCAGCCCAGAACTACATGGGAGGATCTTGGCAATGATCTCAAGGCAGCTGGGACCATAGTCACCAAGAAAACAATTGGTAACACACTACGCCGTGAAGGACTGAAATCCTGCAGCACCCGCAAGGTCCCCCTGCTCAAGAAAGCACATATACAGGCCCGTCTGAAGTTTGCCAATGAACATCTGAATGATTCAGAGGAGAACTGGGTGAAAGTGTTGTGGTCAGATGAGACCAAAATCGAGCTCTTTGCCATCAACTCAACTCGCCGTGTTTGAAGGAGGAGGAATGCTGCCTATGACCCCAAGAACACCATCCCCACCGTCAAATATGAAACATTATGCTTTGGGGGTGTTTTTCTGCTAAGGGGACAGGACATCTTCACCGCATCAAAGGGACAATGGACGGGGCCATGTACATGTACAAATCTTGGGTGAGAACCTCCTTCCCTCAGCCAGGGCATTGAAAATGTGTCGTGGATGGGTATTCCAGCATGACAATGACCCAAAATACACGGCCAAGGCAGCAAAGGAGTGGCTCAAGAAGAAGCACATTAAGATCCTGAAGTGGCCTAGCCAGTCTCCAGACCTTAATCCCATAGAAAATCTGTGGAGGGAGCTGAAGGCTCGAGATGCCAAACGTCAGCCTCGAAACCTTAATGACTTGGAGAAGATTGAGTGGGACAAAATCCCTCCTGAGATGTGTGCAAACCTGGTGGCCAACTACAAGAAACGGCTGACCTCTGTGATTGCCAACAAGGGTTTTACCACCAAGTACTAAGTCATGTTTTGCAGAGGGGTCAAATACTTATTTCCCTCATTAAAATGCAAATCAATTTATAACATTTATGACGTGTTTTTCTGGATTTTTTTGTTATTATTCTGTCTCTCACTGTTCAAATAAACCTACCATTAAAATTATAGACTGATCATGTCTTCGTCAGTGGGCAAACTTACAAAATCAGCAGGGGATCAAATACTTTTTCCCTCACTGTATATGTTTCTCAGCATTGGAAATAATTGAACAACATCTTTTGAATGCTGTTTTTACCTTGATAATTTCAGAATCCGTGGAAGGGAAATTGAGATGTCTGAGAAATACAATGAGGTGTATAATACAATAAGAAATACAATGAGGTGTATAATACAATAGGAAATACAATGAGGTGTATAATACAATAAGAAATACAATAAGGTATATAATACAATAAGAAATACAATAAGGTGTATAATACAATAAGAAATACAATGAGGTGTATAATACAATAAGAAATACAATAAGGTGTATAATACAATAAGAAATACAATAAGGTGTATAATACAATAAGAAATACAATGAGGTGTATAATACAATAAGAAATACAATGAGGTGTATAATACAATAAGAAATACAATAAGGTGTATAATACAATAAGAAATACAATGAGGTGTATAATACAATAAGAAATACAATAAGGTGTATAATACAATAAGAAATACAATGAGGTGTATAATACAATAAGAAATACAATAAGGTGTATAATACAATAAGAAATACAATGAGGTGTCATCGTCATAGAGACACTTTATGCTACATACCTTTAATATTGATGGGTGAAATTAGTGGCTCCAAAGACAGGGCAAAGAGTGTTGGTGATAATGGACATCCTTGTTTTGTGGAATGTTGTAAACAGAAAGTATTGGATAGAATGTTTCCCGTCTGCACAACTGCTTGGGATGCAGAATACAATGTTTTTAACATGGAGATGAATCCTTTCCCAAAACCAAAGGCCTCCAGAACACTCCATAAATAGTTCCATTCTAGCCTATCAAAGGCTTTTTCTGCACCAATCTAAAAAGTGCAGCAGGGACTAGGTCGTTTTCAGACTAATTCATGATATGGAATAGATGTTTAATATTGTCTGAGGCTAAACAACCATTTACATACCCAGTTTGATCATCGCTAATTAGATTTCCTACAAGCAGTTCCAATCTGATGGCAAGTACCTTCGCAAACAGCTTGAGCTCTGTTGTAATAAGGCTTAAGGGCCTATAACTTTTACAGTCTAGGGGAGATTTGCCCTATTTTAACAAAACTATAATCAGTGAGGTGTTTTGGTCTCTGTGGAATTCTCCATGTTTTAATGGATGATTGATAGAACCAGGAGTTAGTGGCCCAACAATATCCCATATTTCAAGAAACAGCTCAGGAGGGAAACCATCAAGTCATGGTGATTTGCCTCTTTTCATAGATGCTAATGCACTCCTGAGTTCTTCAAGAGTAAGTGGGAAGATCCAATGACGATAAGAAGTCTGTCATCTTACTATGATCGGGGTATATAATACCTCTGATGTATATAATTGGGAATGATATGAGGCAAAAGAGGTACAGTTTAAAAAACAACAACATTTTGTC